GTCAGAGCGCGGTGTTTAGTGATTATTCATATTAACCCTCATTTGTGTAATAAACAGACAAGTTGAGAATCAAAAGACACGTGAAAGAAAAACCATATCATAGTGGCACTATTCTTAAAGTGACAGCGTGCGGTATTCCTGCTGCTGCCGACTATATTATTAATCAATAATAAAATCAAAAATACAGTGAAGTTGCTTAAAGCACAATTTAAACATAACAGATTTTATAACTGATTTCTAAAAACGGATTTCTTTTATCTTTGCTATGATGACAGTACATTATATTTTACTAGATGTTTTTCAAGATACTAGTATTCAGCTTAAAGTGACAATCAAAGGCTTAATTTTGGATAAATAGACAAGTCATTGTATAACAGTAGTTTCTAATAATATAGGGGCTAATAATATCGAGCTATTAAAATGGGTTTCAAAATATTCAAACCTGCTTTTATTCTAGCTGAAATAAAACAAATAAGCCTTTCTCCAGAAGAAAAAAATATTATAGGAAATACTGTAAAAAAAAAAAAAACCTCTGTTAAACATCATTTGGGAAATATTTATAAATCAATGAAGGGCGAAAAATTTTGACTTTAACTGATAATCTTTTTGAATATTCGTGATTACAATTATGACCAAAATAATCGTAATTATGATTTTTCCCATAATTGAGCAGCCCTAACAGGTGACAAGCACATGTCTTGAACATAATCATTCAATTTTATAATTATGAATAGTTATATTCTGATGTTATAATTTTACTGTGAATTAACAAACAGGACATATTGAAAGTCTGTTCAAGTCCACCATAACGACTATACAAAATTTAGCATTTAACAATAATAATATGGCTTATTAAATTAACCTTTATTTTAAATTAACAGGATCAAGAAAATCGTGATCTTGATTTCAAGCTAAAAAAATCGTGATTCACATTTTTGCCAGAATCATGCAGCCCTAGTATCCGGTCACATTTGCAGTGCAAAAACAGTGCAAAATTAAACGCGTGAACTGTGTGTTCGTAAACTTTGTAACGACATTGTGTGTGACTCGTCGAAAGGCTTGAATTAACTCTTGAATTAACGACAAATACATCAGATAATCATTGGTAAATTTCTCACTGTGGTATTCATCACAAACTTGACATGAGATCTGCTTCCTTCATGTCTGTCACTCTGCTGTTTATCTGATGCAGCAGGAGATTGAGGGCATATGGGAGGCACTCTGACAGGCACATGGGAACGGTGGGTGGGGAGAACTAGCATTAAAGGCACAGGCAACAAAAACAGCTACATTGTGTTCAGAGCAGAAAATTCCAATGTTCTGAGATGTATAATAAATAATCTGAAACTTTACAGACACATTCTGGAGACACAAAAGATTTATCTTAAATCTTAGGTGCCCTTTACTATCTCTATTTGGAAATGATTTATAATGTTAGATCAACTGGGATGATTCTGCAGTGGGAATGCATCTCCATAAAATCTAATAAACTCTATAAAATTTTTATGGGTCCCCGACACATTTTCATTGTGGTCTGTGCTATTGGCGGTTTATTTCTGTATGTGCATGTATTCGATCAAGAAAAAGATACAAGTGTTTTATAATTACCCGAGTCTAACAATATTTAAGTACAGTAACTGAATGATACAAATAATTCAATAAAATAAATCGTAGTTAAAAATTGTACAATTTCTTAAACCTGAATGTTTTTGTTATTTTACAAAAAAAAAGCCATCAAAAACATGTGCAAATGAGAAATTCAAATACAAACTCAACATTGAATATCCTGCGATGTGACTAACGTTGCGACATCGATGCTGAAACGATATATTGTGCAGCCCTAATTTCAACTATAATGCATCTTTTTGGGGCCAAAAGAAGATAAATATCCATCAGACCTGCACTATGCCATAAATCATAGAGGTAAAGTTGGGTTTATATTTACAAATTCGGACTTTCTTCTAAATAATATAATTTTAGAAAAGGATTCTTTGCAAATTCTACATAGTAAAATTATATTGGCAGCCAACAACTATCAAAATACAACATTGTTCAAAGTCAAATAAATAGTGCTAATGTTGTTTAGTAAGTCATACTCGCATGCAATTTCAGACGGAATATTCGAAGTACTGTGATAAAGAATAAGGGGAGCATGTCTAAAGTTGTCATTGAACAAATGTGCGAATATAAAACCAACTTTACCTCAATCCACATCAACAGCACTTGCACAAACAGAAACATTACAGTTTTATATGTAAATTCTGAGAACCTTTACAAAGGGATATGTTCATAAATAATTAGGCTGATTGTAAACAAAACAATGCCTGATTTTTATATTTAAGTTAACATTTTATTTGAGAAAACTTACAATACAATTTTTAGAGTAAAGTTAATCACTCAACTGTGGAAGTATACTGATGACTGTTAGGCTACTTAAATCTTTACCCTATTCACCTGCAGTGTCTTGCCTTAACAGTAAGGATAAAATAAACAGCTCTTACCTGTCCACAACCTGGGGCAGTGCAGACAAAAGGTCGATCGTCTCCCATTTTAGATCAACTACTTCCTGTGTCACTTCTAAACACCATTCAGAGAGAACAGTTATGATTTTTCATTACTAGGATCAGTAAAACCCCATTTACGGCTCAGTTTTTACAATCTGAACGTCATTTAAAACAAGAATCCCCTCCCAAACTTTGCATTTGTAATGTTGTGGAGTCTTTTGACAGATGACAGGAATCCCTGCTGCACCGAGGCCTGCTGGGTTCATCTGATTGCATAATGTGCATGACGATTACACGATAAGACGCTTCATTTGACTATTGTCGGAGATCGTCCCTGTTTAAAGAACGTTTCCGCTCAATTTAACAGCTTCAAACCAACAGCTACATCATACTAACACCTACCGCTAGCTAGCATGCGTTTCCTTTCTAATTATATCCAGAAAGATCTCTGCAAACAAATCACTCCCCTCTTAACTGTATTAAAGCAACTGGAATCATTTTAACTAAGCGATAAGACGTCGGAGATTTGTCGTAAGTCCTTTCTCGCCGTGGGTTTCGTTTAAATGCTTCTTAGCGATGTCCGATTCGTGGACGAATTGTACTTGGGAGCCGAATCTTTTCAAAACATTGGTGGAATCGGTTCATACAAACAGTTCAAATGAATCGAACTGATTCAGTGAGCATCTGAAGTGATTGTGAAAATTAAAGGGATAGTTCATCTAAAAAAATGAAAATGTACCCTATTTATTCGCCCTTAAGGTAAAAAAAAACCTGAAGATACATTTTTCTGTTTAGGAGAATAAAGAATATATTGTTAAAGTGTTAGAAACCTATAACCATTGACTTCCATAAAAGGAAAATATTGTTTTTGTTCAACACAAAACAGAAACTCAAATAAGAAACTTGTTAAAAGCGAAATCTGAGTAAATTATGGCAGAAATAGCAGCTTTGTGTGAACTATTGATTTAGAAGCTTTAACAAAAAAAACTATTTCAATAAAATATACCATATTTAAAACATTTGAAAATATTCATATTACAATATTTTTGTTATTAAACATTAAAATGTAATAAATCTGACAAGATTAGAAACTACGAGACGACGTGACAGCGTACACAACAGCTAAATCCTTTAAATCGATTCTTTAATACACTGGTTCAAAGGAACCGATACGCAAAAACAGTTCGGACTTTCCATCACTAAAGCTAACAGGCTAATGCTAAGCACACATGAGCCAACAGGCTGTAACACCCAATTTACATCGAAAGCGAGTGACATTACTGGGCAAAATAAGAACACTTCCATTATACCAAACGGAGCTACAAAGCGAGCGCGCGCAGATGTCGTTGATTGTAATGCAATTGTGTTTGTGTCGCGTCTCGTGCAGTGAACAGAACACACGGCGCTCATGACACCTCCACCATTCTCGCGGCCAGTGAAGCCACATGCCAAACCACTAATTGCACAGCATCAGATAATCCTAACGTGTTGCGTGTCACCTGTTTCTCGGCCAAGGGTTTCAGTGTTTACAAACTTACCCTGCTCCTCCCTCTCTCGTTCCCTCTCTCCGCGTTCCCACCTTTGGAACTCCTTCATCCAGCAAGCTCTCAAAAAATGTAAATCTCGCGATATGTTGAGGTAATACTCAAACCAGATTAAAGTAGTTACGTAACAGATTTGGAGCAGTGATGAGAAATCCGCTGCTCTGTTTTTTTTACACACCAAAACACGCCCAGGGATACAAAAGGTAAATGTTAGAGAAACGCTCTTAATAATAACGTGTAACTGGCAAAACTCCAAGCTAATAGATTTTACAGATATAATAGAGCAAAGACGATTCTAGTGCACAAACTACACATTCTACAAGATGTAATGCCTAATATTTAAACTTAATTTTGTTAAATATTCTCTTCGTTATAACACTTTGTATATAAAATGTACATTTAAAAGTTGTAGTTTGAGCCATATTTTACAATATAAGGCAAGTCTACCTACTATTTAAAGCACATTTCATAAACAATGGTAATTTAAAGTGCTTTACATAAACAGAAATAAAATAAACTAGAAAAAGACTTTACAATTTAAAACAAATTAAAATGTTTAAACAGATGATGAAACAACGAAAAAGAAAAAGACATAATAATGTGATCTGTGAGATGTAGCAGAGCACTAAAGGCACAGCTAAACAGAAGTGTTTTCAGTCCGGATTTGAATGTGCCTAATTTGAGCACAACTGATCATTTCTGAAAGCGGATTCCAGTAGGGAGGAGCGCAGTAGCTGAAAGTCGATTCACCCTGCTTTGAATTTTTTCTAGAGGGTGTTTTAATTTCTAAACAAAAGTTATCTAAAGCTAAAATGAATTAGACAAAAAATAACCAGTTAATTAACTAACTTTAACCAAAAAGACAAATATTTAAAAGAGATTATTCGGTTTATTCATCAACTAGAAGCCCTTAAACATTTCACATAATAATAAATACAAACACACAGGTTCAAGTCATTTTATCATTTATTTTTTTCTTCCATTTCTCCTTAGCATTTTTCATTGAACATCTAATAATATCATTCAAAACATTTCACTCAGCAGTTGCTATGTCAATTCTGTTCCGAAACAGAACCTAAACCCCTATAGAATTAAAAGAAAAGGCAAAAACTTGTCTTTTTTCTGTTTTTTTGTTTTGTTTTTGGGCTAAAAGACTTGCTACTCGTAACTGTACCCTTTCATGTCTAAAAAGCTTACAGCCTACATAGGATATAAGATTAGCAACAAAATGCAACACATTTCATTTCACCAACCAGTTATGAATCAAATCCATTAATTCAGATAAAAGAATTACAAAAAAACCAGGTCCACTGATTTTTAATCATTTGTGTGGCGCAGTTTCTACATAGTTTGCGCCCATGAATAATATAGCCAAATATAGAAAATAAGTCTGAAAAAATCTCAAACTAATAAAGCAAACAAACGTTAGGGCAAGAAAGACACTACTGAGAGTTAAACAAGACAACTTGAAATAAATTAAAACTGATGCATGAAAGTTCCCTCCAATGCTTTCGTTTTTCCTACAACAGCCAAATAAAAAGGGGATTTTGAAAAAAAATATATATTCATTAGGACACCTTCATAAGGTCACACACACAAACTCAAAACGCGTACATTGTTCAACATCTAAATGAAAACCACTCATTCATTAAACAGTGGCCCTGCCCATGGCAGAACGATGAGAGGAGCTACTGCATTTACACAGCACTTCCTGAGATTGTCTCTCAGCTGATTTGACTTTGGTCTGGATTTGTGCACAGCCCATCCATAAATGTGAATGAGACTAAGACCCTATTTTCACCTGGTATTAAGAGGCTTTGGTTGATCAAAGACATGTAGACATTTGCACTAACACTAGTAGTTTTAAATCAATCCCTGTCTGCTTCAGATGACTTTTCTAACGTCTTTGAGTAAGTAAGGTTTCTCTGGGGAAAAACATTCATAGGCTTTTTCTGATCTGAAAAAAATCAGAAAGAAGCTCTTGCAATTTCAAAAAAAAAAAAAAAAAAAAAAAAAAAAAAAAAAAAAAAAAAAGTCACTTTCAAACCACACTAACTTTCAGATGGCAAAACCTCATTGCGATAGTGCAACTGAACAACCCTTTTTATAAAGGTTTATGAAATAGGTCAGTAAGCAGAGCTTGACCACATTTGGTTGAAAGTGAACAAGAATGACACATTTTTCCCCTTCCATTTACACTTGTCCGCTTGTGATTGGATCAACAAAAACACCTTAGAAGGAATAGTTCACCCAAATTAGGAAACAACCCTATAACTTACTTGTATTAATCCTCCAATATTTTCAATTTTTACATTCTAATCTCATATCTGACTTCCTGTGACTGCCAAATGCGCACAACACTTTCTCGGCAGACCTTGGTCTCCATTTACTTTTGTTCCAAAAACAACTCAATCTACTTCATAAGACATGCATTAATCACCTGATGCTTGTGTTTTAGTTTTACAACCCATTTATACAATTGAAACCTTTGGCAAAAGGCCACTACTCCTTAAACAGCACTGAAGAGCCAGAATATTAATTAAACTACTGTGTTGGTCTGACAGAACAGAAGTCTTATACACAGAGGATGATTCGATGGAGAGTAAACTAGTGTAATTTTCCCATTTATGGGTGAACCATTCCTTTTATACCAGATGCAAAACAGGTCAAGAAAAGGACGACAAATTGAGGAGAGAATCATGCAATACAGTGTCATCGATTAAACATTCAATATACATCATTAACTGAAACTTAAGACCCCTAAAAAGTATTACTGAACTCAAAAGGCTACAATTCAAGAAAAGAAACAAATAAAAATCCTGCAGAAAGTCCACAGGACAAAATGAGCAGTCATACACATCAATTCTCTGAGGTCCTGAGTTCCCTCTTTTACCAAAGTCGACATGAGATTAGATGACACAGGTAAATGATGAGTGCTGTAGCAGGTATAATACATGTAATCCTACCTGAAATGTTCAGGCATAAATGTAAGTGTCACATAAAAATTATTAAACAAACAAACAGAAAGAAAACATAGAAAAGACAAACTCAATATCACAAACTGGACATGAACAGCAAAGCAGCACTAACTGAGATCCAACCTGATATTTGTCACCAGCATCTACAGCAGACGGAAAATAGATATTCAGTCAAGAGCCGACAATACAAACAACCTGACCTCTAAAAACATTAACAAGACTTTCACTCCAAATAAGCAAAGGAAGACAAAAAGTGGCTTCGCTCATCTGTTTGAATGATTGGAGTTCATTCATTCAGCTTAAAAGCAGCTTGATCTTCGTTACTGACATACCCAGCATTCAAAAATCACTGGACAAAAATCACAGACGTTAAACAGCACGACACTCTCAACTCGAAACAAACTTAAATATACACCACTGGTTTCTGTCAGAATCTTTTGTTCAATGCATGTCTGGCACTGTTCCATCCATTTGTCATGACAAATGTTTCATTCAGCTTCACTCGGCCCTTCAAACCTACACTTTTCCTTCTTCGTCTGAACAAACCGATCTCCCAGTTTAAGACTGGTGATGAGATCCTACAGGCAACTCATAACTCAATTTCAATTACAAAGCAATTTTGATGAAATGGCATATAGAACAGACTTTAAGAAATCACTGTTTTACAAATCATAGAACTGAAACTCCATGCCACATATCGACAGGATTCCCAAACAATCCTTACAGTAAATTCTCCAATCTTACAGCTGTTTGCAATGACTAAATATTTAGACTCGTCATACAGAGTGGCGCATGAATGGCTAAAATAATTCACCATAGGCTCCCTTAAGATTTGCACCAATGGTGGTTTTCCTGGTAGGACTAAAAGTGTTTGTGGTAAACAAATATAAAATTTAAGTTTGCTTTAAAAAAGAAAAAATACAAAAAAATGGATGCACCCATTTGAAAAACATGAATTTTGTACCTGTTGTGAGCATTGTATAAAAGTTGATTATAGTAAGTAACTTGATAAGAGCATACGGGGAGCAACTCATGTTGCAGAGGGAGAAAAAAAAAAAAAAAAAAAACATTTACTAACATAACTTAACATTTTAATGGTGAAGCTGATACTAAACTTCAATTAGGGATGCACCGACAGGATGCTTTTTTCCCACTGTGATAAAGTGTGGCAAATGAATTAATCTAGCTTTCTTCACACACGCATACATATTTTGCAAATTAACTTCAGCAACTTTCCCTCATCAATGCCATTAAGTACATGCTCTTATTTTGTCCAATTTCTTGCATCAAAATTTGTTGGTTTGGGTCATGGCTTATAACACTGTAATACTTCCAGAAGAGCGGCTCAAAAAGTGGCTAGGCATGAATATGAAAATGCTATACGCATCATTTTACACAACTCCATGTTCTTTATGGAGTTAACTCAGTTTACATGTTAACAGCTTTTTTTTGTTAATAAATCAAAAGTCGACTGATATGTCTGAGCTAGATTAAGGGAACCAATATCAATATTTGTAAATATCTTGTGGATACTTTGACAGAACAAAATGCTTAACTATTTTGAGTTGCTGTACTTCAAATATACAATTTGTAAAAGTACATTTGAATCCAAATGTCCTCAGCAACTCTTGGAATTGCTTCCACTTAAAAAATAACAAAAACAAACACTGGAACGCACAACAGTGATTTATGGACCTGTGGGTTGACAGGTTTTGTCTTTGTATGATCTGTTCCATGTGGAAAACAGGTGTTGGCTTGATTTCACCAACAGCACTACCACCATATATAGATAATAAAAAAAGGAATATATTTAAAAATGTACAGCATTGTACACTAGTGCCAGGACCTTAAACACTCCAAGTAAAAATCAAAACTCATTCACAAGCTAAATAAATCTGTAAAAAAAAAAATCACAGACAATACAGGAAGCATGGCCTCCGTTTCTCTTTTCAAGTTTAAGAGGTTGTTCATCTTCTGTAAATTCCTAGTTTTCTTTAAGGATCAACTTCCCAGATATCAGTCATTCAGGAAGCCGAGATTTCTTCCAACACCACAGTGCGATAGTCCAGTTTTCATATGTAGATTATAGATATTTATATATAGATTTATATACTCGCTTTGTGGGTGTATAGATATATAAAAAAAAGTTGTGTATCTAGGTATACACACAAGTGTGCACATGTTGTGGGCATGAGGCATTACTTTGGCGATCTGGGTGGGATGTTTTGTTCTTTTCCACTGCGTCTGTTGTATCCCGACTGTGGAGAGCAGCGTCGACCCTGTGGAGGTCGTCTCTGTTGCTCTCTGAGCTTAAATCCTGACCCTCTTGAGCCGTTACCACGTTGGTATCCAGTCTGCTCTCTGGACGTCCGACTCTCACCTTTCTCTAATTTGTCCCAAGGGCTGCAGCGGGATGAGGCTGGACCATCCACCTTGTTGGCACGAAGTTCACGTAGTGGTTGGTTTGGGGTGGGAGAAGGAGAGGGTGTGGGGCTGGGCGGGGCAACTGGGACAGGGGGAGGGTCTTTGGGTGGCCTCTGACACACCTCTGCATAGCTCAGCTTGCGAGGCTCCTAAGAAAGTCAGTAAAACCAAATTAATCTTCCCTTCACACATTTGGAAATATAAATGCTTTATGATGAACATTTGTTACATAGCAGATGAAGGGGTTTACCTGTACAATTGTGCTTGTTGGAAGAGGTGGGGTAGAAGCAGTGCTTGGAGTTGATTGGCTGCATGTAGGTTTGGGGGCGGAAATGAGCTGGACGTGGTTTACGGTCACTGCTGCAGCAGCATCTGGAAGCGTGACAGCATTCTGAACCTCTAGCACTGGTTTCTTCACTTGATGTATAACACTGTAGAGAGGAAAAAAAAAAAGTTAAAAGGTGCCATATACTGCATTGGTTTAAGAAGTTAAATAGTTCTGATATCTACATAATAGGTTTATGGCTTCCATAAGATTAACAAAAAATAAAATAATAATAATAAAAAAAAAATATATATATATATATATATATATATATATATATATATATATATATATATATACACACACACACACACACACACACACACACACACACACACACACAGAAACTGAGAATAGCCCTAGAATTAAGTGCAGTTCTCGCTCAGACACACTGCATGATGTACTCGGAGCACAGACAAATAAACCCAAACAGGGTAACACTAACTTATTTAGCTCAAGATGTGAATAAAAGGCTAAATTATAATTAAACCAATAGTGATGTATTGCATTGTATTTTAAATGCTATACTATCAAAGAAAACAGCCATGACTTAATATCATTTGCGTAAACAGATGACTGTAGAATCATGTCAAATCGCTTGGTTCAACTATCTTGTTGAAACGTAGGCTTCAATAATTTCATACCTTGTGTCCCTTTGGAGTGGAGCTGAATAAACAATCTATAAATCTTGCATTTTGCATCCTGACAGGATTGAACACGTCTTGTGCAGTCAGTCGTTGCACAGTAACGCATGGTAAACAATCTGCAGTTGCATTTTCAAAGCAAAAGTCCCACATACTTAACTAATGGAGATAAACTATCACCGTTTTCTTACTAAAATTGGTTCTTATCAAAACTGAGGCATGCTTGTTGAGGATCTCAGAGCTACAGAAGTGTGTTCTCATGATTGACGTTTGGTCCAGATATCAACCGAAATTAGTCATACATGCGAATGCGGAGGGCATGGCCTGTGAGCAGAGTCAGTTTGCTTTCTCTTCTGATTGGCCTACTGTCCACCAGGGTTTTACACTCATGGAGTTTACACAAGTAACAATGGTGTCTGAGGCGCACAGTATATGTCCATTTCCATATACCAAGTAGGCATGGGCTGATATAATATTCTGACGGGATGATAAGCTTGGATAAAAATATCACAGTATTATGATTACTGCTCTAAAATATATATTTTTTAAATATCTGGGTGAAACAAAAACTCACTTTTGAACAACATATTTTATTTTGAGAAACATTAAAATTATTATGGAGGAGTAAACATGTCAGGCTAAATGAATTATTGACTTCTATCTTCATTTGTTTCAAAAACTTTACAATTTAAAACAGCATCTTTAGACATGCCTTAGGAATGCTATTGTAGAAAATTGACGGTTTTAAAACCTTGACTGTTCCAAACCGCCCATGTCTAATACTGAGCTCTTATTTTACTATGCCTTGGTATACCCAGACTTTCATTATAAGGCACCTTTTAATGTATGTTTTGCTTAAATGTGAGGAAGCTTTCCACAGGACCACTTTTTTTAGTACCACTAAAGGGGAAAAAAAAAAAAAAAAAAAAAAATCTACCAATTTGATGCTGTTTGTTGAAATCAACCCAAGGGCAAATATTTTAGGTTACCCATACCTTTAAATAGTAAATTTGTTAAAGCACAGAATACAATTGCACATGCATGTCGTACCTAGCTACAGGTGGATCCACTTTAGTGGTGGGAGGCTTCAGTGCTGGAACTGAGGGTCCGGTTGTCTGTGCTTCCCCTTGACACGTTCCAGTATCTTGACTGACCTCTTGCTTACTTGCTTCTGGCTAAAATGTGTAAAAACAACAATTGAGATTCTCTGCAAATAAGCCAATCTAATTTCACAGAGAACACTGGTTCAAGAAGGCTCTTACCACCTTGCTGATGCCCTTAACCACATCTGCCATGCGATTCTCCAACACAGACTCTGTTTGCAAGGTCACACTTGGCAGATGCCCCGACACCCCCCCTGGCAAAGGCGGGAAATTAGTGGTTGCCAGGTCAAACTTTGGGGATGGAGCTTTCACCTCCAATTCCGCATTCGGCCTCTGCACAAACCAAATTAACACATTAATTGAACAACACATTTAAGTATTTCAATGTTATGTGACTATTTTAGGACTAACCGTTCTTTCATCTTCTCTCCTCCTCCTCATGCCACGATAGCTTCCTCTCCTGAACACAAACAAGTCAATAAATACTTGCCCATTATCAACGCTCTCAGCATTTGGTGAACACACTCATCAGATGACCCTCAGATCTCATAATCTGACCGCTCACTGGGACAGGAGTGACTGAGGCTTTGAGGAGAGGGACAGAGAGAGAAAGAGAAAGTGATCAGAAAGAAGAAAGAGCTCCTTAAGTCCCAGCACTCCCCGTTTCCCTCTATGCGCTAATTTGATCATCACTGGGTCAAAACGACCAAATCTGGCTTCTTTTAAAAAAAGAAAATGCTGCATCAGGTGTGCAGTGTATACGGACCTGACTCGACTGCTGATGGAGAGGTCAGAGTGCTGGTTCTCTCTGGGGGAAGTGGGTGGTTCAGAGAGTGGGGTGAGGGTGGAGGCGTTGCTGTCTGAAGAGGGGGTGCATGGGGGCTGTGGACTGCCAGCACCGGATGATGTTTCAGTTAGCTGACCCACATCAGCACGAGGCTTTACATGATTCCTGCATAGAACAAACACAAAACAAAAGTTAGCAGTTTCTTAGATTAGACAGCAGGCAACAAACATTTTTATAGCTGATCTTTTAAGACTGTCAGATCATGCAGAATGAACATCACAAATAAAAGTGGTATACATGTATGGTGACAAAAAAAAAAAAAAAAAAAACTGTTCACACTTTTGTTAGTAGACAAGTTCCCAGGAAGTTGTTTTTCGTTCTTCATTTGAAGTTATAAAAGTCCAAGTGCCAGAATACAGATTTCAAACACTCCCAGGTGACAATTCCAGATCAAACCAACAAGTAGCAAATTCATGAATCAAACGAACCTAAATTTCCCTTTTATGAGCTCTTTTGAACAAGAAAAACTCAAGAATCTAATTTTTAGCTGGATTTGACTTAACATTAGTTTGCTCTAATTTTATTTGAAGTATACAGAGACCTTTAAAGAGTACAAATTATGATTGACAAACTTTTTACCTAGTAAAACAAAAAAAAGACCTATTTTACCTAGTGCAAACATTCAGTTTCATTTGCCACCATTAGATGTACAAGCGATAGGCAAACCAGTCTTCATATCAATTTAGCAGTCCAATCTGCTGAGTAGCCTAACCGTGAAGGACATCCATACTAAGATGCTCAAGGAGTGTCATTTTTGTAAAAGCAATAATAAAATGGTGTAAAATATTTGGCAAATATTTAGTCCCCATTAAGTATCGTATAGTTCCTTTAAAATTAATGTATTAAAAAAAAAAAAGTCATGTATATTAAAGCTTTTATTTTATTAATTCAATTTAAAAACTCCCGCTCTAAATTTGTATAGTGCTTTACCAATGAGATTAAAAAAAAAAATAAGTCACATAGCATGTACTTTAAGATAATATCAGGAAACTCTTACAGACAGAGAAACAGACGATGCATGCAAGGACAGGATTACATGACAGATCTGATGACAATGCACTGACAATCATAAACTGTGAAGGAATCATGCGTCAAGATGCAGCTTTTAGCCGAGTCATGATGGCCAATCACTATGAGGCTCTTACTCATGATTGAATAACACTAAAATGCAGTTGTTTACAGAAGTGATACAGCTCATTTCTCAGGTATTCAATTAAAAACTTTAGATTTGCATAAAAATAAATGAATATACATTTAAACATTTACAAATTTGTAATCTGCATTTTGATGTAATCTCAAAGCATTTTGCATAGCACAGCTTTAGGATGAACATGCACAAGATGACCATTTAACACAGGGAAAGAAAACGCTTCAGTAAAATCAGATGAGATCTACCTGAAAGCATTGATTACGTTCTTTCTGGAATAAAGTGGAAGTCTAGAAAATGAAAGTAACAGTCAATCTGACTCCACTCCCTTAAACTCCCACTTTCTGCACATGAGGTTCATATGCAAATAATCCACAATATTACAAACAATAAAAAAAATAAAAAAAGACATTAACTTAAAGTGAGACATAACTGCAATTGGTTTAAAGTGTGTTATTAGTCTATAGCTTTTAACAAACAAACAAAATAAATTAGAGTATTAATCAATTTTAGAAAAATCATTTTGCTCTTTAGGTCATCATGGAGAAGGTCAAAACTATAGCTCATGTGGCAGAACAGTGCACTAGGAATACCAAGGCCATGAAAAGCAAAACACTAAGCTTGAATACACATTGGTTGAAAACGTAATAACAACAACAACAACAACAACAACAAAAAAAAAAATTTGCACACCAAGATAAAATCTGAACTGAAGACCATCATAGTCAAACATTGATGCAACAAACGTTTTAATCAAATCTCTGTCAAACTTCGGGCAGAAAGAGACCAGCATAAGCACAAACAGGAGTTGTTAAATACACAGTTTTTGGGATCTTACCGGTTGCGGGGGTAGTTGCGTGTAAGGCTGATTGGAGAAGTGCCAGTTTTGTAGTTTCCTGCTGTGCCAAAGCCATTAACAAATGTGCTATTGGGAAATGGAGCCTGTGAGCGGAATTAACAGCAGGGATTAACACACATCCTCAAACTACTACAAATCATCTTCAATTCACATTTTTGTGCCGCAAATCAAAAAGCACCTCTTTACATTAATGTGCTATGCTAAATGATGCAAATAACCATTGGCATGGCAACCATTCAGAAAGCTGATCAGCCTGCAATCACAATCCTGATTAAATTCTCAGAGAGCCACTGTGACTCCATCAGCTCACACATTCAGCCGTCATGACTGCCATTCCAACTCTAAATAAAAGCTTAATGAAAAACGATGAGCAGTCGGAGGTTACGGCTATAATTGCTGACCATTAAAATGTCTTTTTGTCATTCAACAAGTGACCCTCAGATCTCATAATCTTAACGCTCACTGGGACAGGAGTGATAGAGACTTCAAGGAAAGAGAAAGACAGAAAAATAAAAGAAAAAAGTGAGAATTCCTAAAAAAGCATCTGATCACTCCATGCGTCCCTCTACGCGCTTAGTTTGTCATCACTGGGTCAATACAACTAAATCCGCTTTTATAAACATCACATTTCTTTGTACACAGCTTCATGATACAAGTTAATTCAGTTAAATTAAAACTTGCTTGCGAATTCATCTGGCACTTTCATTTACATGGGACACCAATACCCAGCTTTGATGATAAAGATAATACTGATTAAGAGTCTGACATGTAAACAGCGATTTAATTACTTTAAAAGGATCACGCGAGTCCCGAAACGGTTTTTCTTTCCGTTCGCCATGCGGTATCAAATTCTATTAAAACATCCTGAAAGGAAATATGCTGAATGAGAGTGAACTGCTAAACTGCTGTTAAGTCTAAATATAAAAAAATTAAAAACCGAAATTGCATGAAACTCTGAAGGAAACACAAGATAGCCTGGTGATGCCCCATTAATTGTATTATACCAGGGTTCACCAATCTCAGTCCTGGAGGGCCGGTATCTCTGCAGGGTTTAGCTCCAACTTGCTTCAACACACCTGCCTGGATGTTTCAAGTATACCTAGTAAGACCTTGATTGGCTTGTTCAGGTGTGTTTGATCAGGGTTGGAGCTAAAATTTGAAGGACACCGGCCCTCCAGGAACAAGTTTGGTGACCACTGTTTTATACTGAAACTTTCCTTCTAAAAGCACATCTGTGGTCTTATCCATATTTCTTTGCACGTTAAACACACGCAGGGCTGGCAAAAGCTGAACTGGCGCTCTAGGCAAACAGCAATCACACCGTTTTATACGTATGGAAGGCCAAGGAACGTGAGAGAGGGGGTGGGTGTAGCGGATGAATGTGAGGACCAGGAGGTTCACTCACTATTTTACTGCCCAAGGCAGCCGCCTAGGTCACCTCTATGGCCTTGAACACACGTCGGCAACAAGAAACAAACAAAAAAAAAACTGCAGCTGCGTTTTTTGCGTTAATTTAACACGTTAAATATTCCAAATTAATCACGTGCACTAATTTTGACAGCCCAAATAAGTTGCCAGTCCTAGGATAGGCAATATAATCAACATTTTAAAGTTCTCACCAGTGGCGTTTCAAAGTATGGGGTGGGTGAAGGCGTCCACGTCTGGGGCAGTAGGCTATATAGCGGGTACTGCTGTGGAGGCTGGTACACCTGCTGCAGGTAAACTGGAGACGAGTACTGTGATGGACTCGAGTAAACCCCAGAGTCTGCCCCAAAACCATTCTTAGCGAAGAACGTGTTAATGGCCTTGATGCGAGCCTACCATAACAAAAACAAAAAGGAGACATTCATTTAGTGTACAACATTATAAATGTCCTTCGTTAGCTATAGAATGATGCACTTGTAAAAACAGGTCATAAATGAAAAATCAGTATCTGTATTAAGTGATCTCAATTTCTGAGCAGACTGAAACAGAAGCAAAGAAAAAATGAAACCCCACATAATCATTACTGTATTAAATATGCACCAATCTTTTAGCAAGACAGTTAAGATTAGACTCCCGTCATGTGTTTAAATATTTACGAATGTGGGCTGCACAATAGGGACATTTTGTTGTACAAATAAACAGTCTATGAAAAAAAGCATGCTTTGTGGATTACATAATCCCATACACTGTATACAGGGGTCTTACATAATAACTGATCACAGTTTGGCTGACAAAACGGGTCAGTACATCAGAGAATGCGGTTAATACTCGCACAATAAGTATGGCTGTTTTGCTTTTATTGAATGGAGAGAAAGAAAAAAAAGTGGACATTTACATATCCATTCATGATATCGGCCAAAAATATCCACAGGTTGACAAATTAATCAGTCTCAAACTAAAGACACAGAGCTAGTGGTCAAGGTGACACGAGTGGTGTTTGAATTGTCAGCTAGTCACGTACTCATCCACGGTGCTTAAATTACAGCTGACCTTACAACAGAGACGGCGACACAAATGTACACTCACCATAATTGGTTTGCCCTGAAAGGTTTTGACTTCCTCACGCAAGTATCTGTAAGCCTGTGAAATAATGTGACATGAGTCAATCCGTTTATTAAACCAGGCACAATGCAAAAACACTTTACATACCATTTAAGCAACAAAAGCTGAGCAAAGAAACACTAGCTAAGACTAGAGAAGCAGTAATGAGAGACTGATCAGTAGGGCCAGACGGAATCTGCAGACGTTTTTCGCCATTTCTGCGGAATTATTTTGGGAGTATCATAACTAAAACCTTCATATATGAAATAAAAAAATATATATATTTTTAACTTGTAATTAATGTTTAAAATGCAAATCCAATTAGATTCACTTTATTTGGTAAATAAAGCAAGTTCGTCATATATCTCTACTGAAAGACAGAAAATATTGTATTGCATTGTACATAAATTAGATGAACACTCACATTAGTCAATAAGATTACTAAAATTTAAAAAACTGAATAAATATAGATTTACACACATTTACTCAAGTAAATAAACAGAATTAATGATGGGCTAAAAATCTGCGGAATTCTGCACGCGCAGATTTCGGTTGGGCCTACTGATCAGTAATCATATGCCCTAGCTTTAGATAAAAAATAAAAATAAAAAAGACAGCCAATCATTAACTGCTAAAGCCATAACATCACTGCATTTCTGTTTGTAATCAAAACAGTTTTGAGACGCAGGTAGGACTTAACAAGAACCAGAATGAATAGCTGGTTTGAAGTAATTAAATTGGTAGGTATTTTAAGATTTTATGGTTTAATTAGATAAGACTGGTCTAACAAGCCGAAAATAGCTGTCCAGAGTTGATACAGCAGAAAAGTAAACAGTTTTTCATTAAACTCTGGTATACAGCAGCATATTAGAGAAATGTTGTGGCAACTATAATAATTACAACAAGTCATTATACTACAAAGTATCTTGTGTTCCACAAAAGAAATATCTGGAACCGATTGAAGGTGATTAAATAATTGTTAAATTGGATAAATACTCAGACTTTTAAATAGAGTATTAATATTATTATAATGCATGTAGGGATCAATACAACTTAGAGTCCTCCAATTAGTTTTAGCTAATGACCACATTTTATAAAAACATACAACAAACAGAAAATTAGGACTTTATAAACAATCATAAGCCATTGCACTGGAAAATTATGGCACATTAATTAGGCTGAAAATGTGTTAAACATCCTTCAAACAATGCTAAACAATCATGAAATAACCCTCATGCTTGTAAGACTAACCAATCATTTACACATGTATTACATGAGCAAGGCTTTTTGATAGTGTGTTTGTCAAGAATACCTGCTGAGCATCGGTGTCAGACTGGAATGTTATGTACCAGTTGTTATTGTGTGCAAATTCCACGCTGATGACCTGCGGACACTTTTCGCTTTTAAACAGAGCCTCCACCTCCTGACAGACACAAAAAAATAAAAATCAATAAGGCATAGAAAACAAACGAGATACAACTACTGACAAACAGGACAGACATCCCTCAGATCTCATAATCTCACGGTCATTAGGTCAAAATCCACTGTACTGAGAGAGAGAGAGAGAGAGAGAGAGAGAGAGAGAGAGAGAGAGAGAGAGAGAGAGAGAGAGAGAGAGAGAGAGAGAGAGAGGAAGATAAAGAAATTAGCAGAGCATTAACAGATAAAATAAAAGTTAGAGAAAGAAAATGAAATCTCTGCAGCAGCAATGGTTCTGGGTCCTTCCAAGCGCGATACTGATCATCATCGGGGTGACCACAGTAATCATTCCTAACTTCTAACAAATGTAGTGATAAAATGACCAAAGAGCATGCTCACCTCTACAGGGGTGGTCTCTGGGACCTCTCTGAGGATGATGATGCAACGCTTGTGGTTTGGCCGTACCTTCTCACCCTTCTCATCTACCTGCACCATAGGAGATGCTGAAAAGAACAGAAAAGCAGTAAAATAAAAATTTGTATGAATGTATAGTTAAAAAAAAAAAAAATCTATCAACATTCTCAAATGGTGGCCAGTTGTCATCTTTTTCTTTTACCTCGCAACACCTCAAGTATCAAGTCCATATCAGTAGACAGCAGTTTCACATCCTCCATGCTCGCAATGGTCCAAATAGGGACAAACTGATCACTGTCCATTTGAGATATCAGGTAAAGATCCTTGGAAAGATTCTCTCTGTGGGGGAAAAAACAGATTTGAACAGAAATATTACTTAATACATTACAGTAATGTACATTTAATAACATGGCACACAAAACAGTGTATGCAAGAAACCTCTAAATAACTTAATACATATTAAGAGTATATAGGGAAAATTGAAATTTCCCACTTCGCTATCTAAAGCTTACATTACCCACATATTCCATTAACAGTAAGCAATTGCTCTGAACAGGGCTATGCGATTAATCGAAATGGAATCTCAATTTGAAACATTGCGATTAGCTAGAGACTGCAATATAAAATGTATACAATTTAATTTCCCCCACCAAGAGCATATGTGTGACTGCCATCTTTGTGTAAAAGTCTTACAAGCCAATTGAGTGAGCACACTTTCATTCTGCTCAATTAGAATTGCTCTGAAAATCCCGCTGAAAACTATGCTGAACACCCATAATAAATGACAAACAGGAAGGAACGAGTAAGATGGCATCTGACACTTTAGTAGTATTAATAGACTAATATCAAAGAAAGACACGCTGGTAATACGGGAGTATTAGTAAGTATTAGTACTAAGTCACAGAAACCAAACAAAACCAGGTAATTTGTAAGAGCTGTTACAGCACGAGAAAATAAAACAGTCAGCACTTAAAAGCACCACAGACAGATATGGATGAGCCTAAAAATAAAATAAATAAAAAGGTCAAAGTATTGCCAGTGACATTCAATCTAGTAGCAACAGCAAAGTACAATTTTAGAGTTGTTTGCCAATACAAGTTACTCTAAGTTCCCTTTTTTAACCAACACTTGCTGCATTTTAGCAGTTAGAAGCTACAACACAGATTAAGGTGAAGCTTGAATACAAAATTTAACTGTTAATCAAATTAATAAATTTAATTTGAAATTAAATTAATTAAAATCAAATATAAACATTTTTTTAAACACAATTAGATATTTTCCCTAAAATCGCAATGCTAGCTCTGAATATTATCATGCAACTAACTCGCCAATGTTCCCATATGCAAATAAACAGACTAGCAAACCAACTCAAACTCCTGTTCTGCAAAGTTTAGCTCCAACTCCAATTAGAAAGACCTGAACCAACTAATAAAGCTCTTACTAGGCATACTCCAAACCAAAGCCTATTAAAAAAAGCCTGAAATTATTAGCCTAAAAAAATAATAATAAAAGCATAACGGCTATAACTGATGCTGCCTCTATAACAATATGCAGGAAAAGAAGACCAAAATCCACCATGTGAAGCAAGTCTTGTTCAATCACGTGACCAAAGTAGTGCTACAGTTTTTCCCAATGGCAAGTAACGGGCATTATCTCCCCATAGTAAAAAAACCTCTGCTTTAAAAAAACAAAAAAACAAAATTGGTTTCTTGCAGGTAGGTCGCTGGACCTCTAGTACTAAGTTTGGTGGTTACCCCTGTCCTAATTTAAGCTGCTTACACACAACCTTAAGCTACACACACAACCAGTAAAGCAATTAAGTAAAATCCTGTATAATTTAGTTTCAGTTTGACTGATTTTTATGGCAAATTGACATTTGTTTGGAGTGAGTCAGGTAATAAATGCTTTAGTTGGTGCACTGTGTCATGTGAAGTGGAAGTTATTTAAACAGCAATGAGATCCTTTGCATCAAATAGCAGACGCACAGAAGCTCCCGTGTAATTGTCATTAGCCTACCGTCTTTTAGCTGTTCTAGCCAAAATAGTGAAGTGCTCCTTTAACATGCATACATACACATATACACAAATAAATTGAATGATCTGATCAATTATAAATTAAACATTACATTGCATCGGCTCATTATAGGCAATCACAAATTCTGTGGATAAGTTCAATCAGATACTCCACAAAATCACTTTGAATACAACAGGTCCATTATGACATCGCATGTAATTGCTGAATGAGATTTGTTTTTTCCCAGGCAATAGTAAATATGCACTGCTCAATTGTTCAGGTGATTAATTTCCATTCAGGAAAAAAAAGTGCTTGCGTAACATGAGGGAGCAGGTGTGTGCATGTCTGCTCATAGAGCGAGCATTACCTCGAGAAACAAAATTCCAGCTGCTTCTTCAGCGACTCCTTAAGACTCTCCTCAGACAGTGCAGGCGGCTCCTCAAGCGTCTCACCCTCCACTGAGTGACACAAAACACATCTCAATGACAACGAGCCAGCAAGCAGCATTGATGGATTTAAACAGACAGTGGGTGTGTAGCAAACCTGGTTCGTAAAGTGGGTAAGCCAGTTCTACTGACTCAATGCCATTTATCAGGCCGGTCTCCATAGCAGGGACCGACTCAGAGTCACCATAGCCAACACTATACTCCTTGAAACCTTTTGAGGAAGAACAACAAACAGTACATGAGTGTAAAGGCAATCAATTAATTAAATAAATAGATAGGCCATGCAACCCTCAGATCTCATAATCTCACAGTCATTAGGTCAGACCCACTCCACTGCGAGACAAAGCAAGAAATGTACAGAGAATCAGAGAGTGAGATGGAGAAAAAGAAGAATGAATTGAGTTTGATGTAGAGGAGAAATGAGGATGAAGGATCTCTACAGTTAGAATGGTTCTGGGTCCTTCCAAGCGCGATACTGATCATCACTGGGTGCCAACAAACTTTAACGCCATGCTCTAAATGGATGTTGAAGCCATTTTATGAGGTTTTAATTAATCTTAAAACCAGATAAACATTAACATTCATATACTAAAAATTTGGGGAGGAATGATGTGTGAACTTGGAGGTGTTTGAGTTGATGAAAATATTATATGGCATTTTCTGTGTTTATGGAAACTAAATTTAAGAGATAATTTATCCAAAAAGAAAAAGAAATTTGCTCCTGCTTTGCTTGTTCCATACCAGCTTGAGATTTTTTTTTTTTTTAATTGAACACAATAGGGAAGATATTGAAAAATGTAACCTGTATCCTTTGACTTCTATAGTATTCGTAATTCCTACTATGAAAATCAATAGCTACAGGTCTTCAATAATCATCAAAAATCTCTTTTTGGGTTTAACATAAAATTCAAATTGGTATGAAGCAAGCAGAGGGTGAATAAATGACCATTTTCATCTTTGGCAGAACTATCTCCTTAATCTAGTTGGATAACATGGACAGAAAATTAAACAAATAGATATTGTTCATGTACCTGCATGTCATGTGATCATCCATAACATCAGAACATGTTAAATATACATAAAACGAACATCTCGTGGTACAATTCATATCAATATTTTTTTACATAAAAGCAGCATGGCGACAAAAAAAGTTGTTAAGAAATCCATTTATGGAATATGAGAACCACTGCAATTTTACTTTTGTCATGGATGAATCAAAATCTACCATGCAACTTATGAATTAGCCACCAGATACAATGAGCTAGTGTAAGAAATAAGTTCTAAATGGCATTGATTCTCAGTGTGGTACGTTGGAGAAGATAAACTTTACACATTTTTCAATCAAAAGACTAAACAAATGGCTAATCAGCGCACATACCCTCCATCTCCTCAGTGGAGACATGATCCGCTTGTGGCCAATGGCATGTCTCTGTGGCTGCCTCTGGAGCCTGGCTGGTTGGTGCAGACACTTCCTGCCACACTTTAGCATTGGGATTCAGACCAGCCCCCTTGGTGGTCACCTTGAAAACAAGGTTAAACAGAAATTAACAATGTTAACATTACTGTGATGTGAAAATCTTGCTGCAAAAATGGTTTAATAGTCAAACTGGAGTTAAGGCTAATAACTAGTACCTTGCTGGTCATTTAACAAGCCAAATGAACAGCCATTTATTGTGGAATAACCTTATTACAAGTCATGTGGAATAATTAACGTAGCAGCATATCAACGTATTTGGGCGTTGGTGTATTAGGCAAATAGTTATCCACCTAGTTTGACAATGTAGTGGGAGGGTGACCAAAACAAAACAATAAGCAAGAAACCAATCCTTAGAAACTTGCAACTGAAATTAATTTACTTTGTCAAGGACTTCTGTGTTTTTCTTGAAAATCTTGCCTTAACATTGCTTTGAATTTAATGTATTAATCTACAACCTCTGTATGAATCAGCAGCAGTATTTACCCTCAGAAGACCCATTGCAGCAGTTGTTAAAAGTAAATCACATGCTTCATTTACTCCAAATTATCATAGCAACATTTCTAATGGGAGATGAATCCTGTCAAAGCTTTGCAAAAAAACAGCAGGGGATTACTGACAAATGCCAACAAATTTGTTTATTCAGGGTGTATCAGATGCAATTTTATACTTTATATTCTTGGAAAATTAAAACATGAGGGATGACAAGATTATGAATTGTTGATTAGTTTGCTTGGTATATGGATTGGAATGATTAGTTGTCAAAAAAGGTGATTAACTGTTGGTTCTTCGTGTTACTTAGTGAGAGGATTTTGTATTAAAACTTGAAACATAAGCAGGCAGGTAAGATAATAAATCCTATAAAAATTACAAAAAGTAAAACTGAGGTGGGTAGCTCAGCAATAATGCCTTGCATAAACACTGAATCCCGTGAGTCAAAAGTACAAGACAAATAACTGCTATTAATAATAACTGAATGTCCGTAAACCTAAAACATATTAGAATTTTACAAGATTAGAGGTTCCATGTGCTTTAATAGAAGATAGCATCAAGCCTTTAGCTTGCACCCTGATAAGTTGCTTAATTGAATGGCAAAATGTGAATGAAAATGTGCATGCATAATTATCAGGGGTCTCAAATTAAGATTGCATCAAATAACCAAAATCAAACAATTCAATAACCATGACATGATCTTGCAATAACGAGACAAATGCAGTAAAACAAGGGACTGCGAGTCTCTTTAACATTCACATAGTGAGACACATACTCTACAAATTCTTTAATAAGGGATAAATAGGTGACAACGCTTACGCTTTATTTCCACTTTGTTCATTACTAGAAAGGGCTGAAATCAAAAAGGTAAAAAAAAAAAAACTATACAAACTGAATCAAATGCATTCCCTTGCACCTTGCGGGAATTCAGTGAAATGTAAAAATATGCCAGGATAGCAAAGAGCTGGCATAACCATCCTAACTGACAAAGAAAGGGCATACTTCACTGTAATATTACAGAACTGAAACAACAACAACAAAACAACTTAACGTTAGCAAAACCCTCCAAATGGCCATTTGCATTTTTACTGAGGTAAGTGGAATCATTTACAATGAGAGGAAACTGAAAAACATCGCGTCAGAACTTGATATAAAAAAATGTGACGCTATTAAAGTGTCGCATGACACGCCGAGTCCCGAAACAGCTTCAAACTGGCTAAAAAGTGATATCTGCCATCTAAACAAACGAAAATGTTACAGCCACAAACTTAGCGAAGGTCGTCTGAAGAGCACCAACAGCACGGGACAGGCAAGGGCAACAACTTTTGACACCCTTCAAGAGTTTGAAACGCACAACTTTGTAACATTTACTCCACACTACTGCACCAGATCCGGGATGAAGCTCATTCACAAGATCCATTACTCACCCTGCGCGACACTCCATGCACCGAGGCAGGAGGTTTTAAATAGTCGGCCTTTCACCCATTTAATCTGATTAGCCTCTCTGATAAACCAGAGCGAGAGTTCAGGCCAAAGAGCTACAAACCTGCATCTGAAACACAGCCTGGTTAACCTGACTAGCGCTTTATTGGATTTGAACAGGCTGAAGTTATTTTTAAAATAAAAGCTGATGCAATTTGTGGATACCTTGAGTATTAAACGTAGTCAGTAGTTGTGAAGATTAGCTTTAAAAGTTCCGCAATTTGCGCCAATGAGAGAGGCTGGCTAAATAGCTAGCATTTGTTGCGCGCACGTGGATCATTCGAAGTCGACGGTCAGTTCGCGTTCACATAAACAAGGTCTCACACAGCGGCTCAACTATTCTTCTTATGTCACTGGATTCACAGCAATAATAAACAACTCTGAGCTCAATACAAAATCTCAACAACCTCATTTAACGTTACTTGTCGACTCGTGGCAGGCGCCATCGAGTTGGATCCGTGCCGCAGCTGTGAGGAACCTTCGCGGTCTCCAAAATGACCTCGTTAACTCACCTCCACAAACAACAGCATGATCCTCTCCCCCGACAACGCTTTCACTCGCTAGGTACTTTATAGGTGAATTAATCTAGCTCAAGACAACGGGCTCCGTATTCCACGTCGTTCCGTTTAAAGCAAAAGTACAAGTTCACAACCAAAGCGTTTCGCGGCCACTCATCGTCTGCATCAACCGCTGTGCGTAAGCACAGACACGGTGCTTAACGAGTCTGATTGGTCTTTCCTTTGCTTCTTTTGTGATCACATGCGGCGGCACGCTTTGAATATTACCCGCCTACCATTATATGATAGGTGTGTTCTGAAATACGTCATAATGAAGCTCCGTTTGATTGGAGCAGGCTCACGTCTGTCAAACCTATGTTCAAATTACCGGAACTGCAACCTCTGCCATCAAGATCACTGCTGAGCACGTGGCGACAGCTGAAACAAATGCTGAACACGCCTGATAAAAATGAATGAATGAGTGTTGAAATACGTACAATGTCTTTTAAATCCTGCATGCCGACGCAATAAAATGGCCTTTTAAAACGGATTAGTGCGTGTTATTATATGACACAGCATCTAATGTCGTTGTCACGATGCATCGAGTAGCACAGGAACGCCCAATACAGATCATGCACAATGTGGCAGCCAGGTCTCAGTGCATTTGTCCACTGTTCAAGAGTCAATGCAAAAAAACAGAATGAAATCCTCAAAAACTTTTCTAGAGCTGTTTGATAAATGATATGTGGTGGTAAGTCAGGCACAACAATAAATAAATGTGTCATTTTGCTCAAAACAATATTAGATGAAAAATCCTTAAATCATATTTTCTACAAACAGAATTGTATTTTTTAGGCATCCTGGCATCCCACTTGTCACAAACCAGATTGAATAGTTTTTATCCTGAATCCATGGGGAGAAAATTGTAATATTATTTCTTATATGAGTTGTTGTCAATCTTTAAAAATGGGGGCCTCAAATTACTTTATATACATTACACAAAAGAAGCGCTAAAATAAGATTATACACTCACTGGTCATGTTATTAGGTACACCTGTTCAACTGCTCTTTAATGCAAAATTCTAATCAGTCAATCATATAGCAGTAGCTCAATGCATTTAGGTTTGTAGACATGGTCAAGACTATCTGCCGCAGTTCAAACCAAGCATCAGAATGTGGAAGAAATGTGATTCAAGTGACTTTGAACATGGCATGGTTGTTGGTGCCAGATGGCCTGGTCTAAGTATTTCAGGGATTTTCACGCACAACCATCTCTAGGGTTTACAGAGAATGTTCTGGAAAAAGAGAAAATATAGAGTAAGCAAAATGCGCAAATGCTTTGTTGATGCCAAAGGTAGGAGGAGAATGGCCAGACCCAGCTGGTTCGAGCTGATAGAAAGGCAACAGTAACTCAAATAACCACTCGTAACAACTGAGGTATGCAAAAGAGCATCTCTGAACACACAACACATCAAACCTTGAGGTGGATGGGCTAAAGCACCAAAAGACCACACCGGGTGCCACTCCTGTCAGCTAAGAACAAGAAACTGAGGCTACAATTTGCACAGGCTCATCAAAACTGGACAACAAAATATTGGAAAAACGTTGCCAGGACTGATGAGTCTTGATTTCTGCTGCGACATTTGGATGGTAGGGTCAGAATTTGGCATCAACAACATGAAAGCATGGATCCATCCTGCCTTGATTTAACAGTTGAGGCTGGTGGTGGTGTAATGGTGTGGGGGATATTTTCATGCCACACTTTGCGTCCATTAGTAGCAATTGAGCATTGTTAATGCCACAGCCTACCCAAGTATTGTTGCTGACCATGTCTATCCCGTTTTGACTACAGTGTACCCATCTTCTGATGGCTACTGCCAGCAGGATAACGCACTATGTCATAACGGACGAATCATCTCAGACTGCTTTCTTGAACATGATAATGAGTTCACGGTGCTTAAAGTGGCCTCCACAGTCACCAAAGCTCAATCCAATAGAGCACCTTTGGGATGTGGTGGAATGGGAGATTCGCATCATGAGTGTGCAGCCGACAAATCTACAGCAACTGTGTAATGCTACCATGTCAAAATGGACCAAAACTGAGGAATATTTCCAGTACCTTGGCTTGTGGAATCTATACCATGAAGGATTAAGAAAGTTCTGCTCAGTACTAGTAAGGTGTGCATAATAAAGTGGCCATAAACACATAAAAATTTATTTAGTCCTGAAATAAACTAATAAAAATTTTAAAACTGGAGGGTCATTTTCATTCTGATTATATACATGTTCTTTTTTACAATTATTTATATGGTGTACAAATTCTGAGTTCAATACAGTTTAAAAAAAACTTTATATTGTAAATCACAAGCAGTGGATGTTATAAGCAATAAATCTATCAAATTGTATCCCACTACTGTAAGGATACAGAATTGTACATACTGTATTAGAAAGATGTTGGCATAATGCTAAAATAAAGAGAGAGCACCCTGCAGAAGAAGCTTGGCACAGAAACTGGAATCAAACCTGAATATGCAAGTTTCATTTTGGTGCGAGTCCAGATCTGACACCAACCACCAATGTAGCACAATGGCACAGAGGTACAATTTGAACACCATGGTCGCAATGGTCGCAAATATGATAATCCAATATACTGTATGTGATCTTCATTAGGAAAATTCTTAAATAAACATCAATTTAAATGACCAAGGTTTGACCTAATAATATAACAGTACAAAGTTAAGACAACCTAATCATTTAGTACAACAACAAACGACCCCTATCATCCTTTATAGAGGCACATAGAATCCGGGTAAATCTATAACAGCACAACGTTCCTGATGAACCAGACATGTTCAAAGTACAAGAGAGTTATCATTTGTTTGATCTGTTAACTAAAAAAGAAAAACACCCACAAAACTCGACTGGCTGTTAAACTACATTTACTTGTGTGAGAACAATCCAATAAATGTAATTGTAACCGCTGGGATATAATAATACTTATTATACTGTGTACACTCTTTAAATGTCTTATTGCTTTAGTCTTATTGCTCCAGTGAATGATTGCCAAACTACAGAAAGAAGCAGTTAATTTTTAATAAGTAAAGTTAGATGTGGCCCAAAGCAGGCTGTCAGGTGATCTCGACATATTTGAATTAACATCCAAACAACGTTAACCTGCTTGCAATAAAACATTTGTCAACCAAACATGTGTCACGCGCCTCAGAGTTATGAAAACATTACAGTATCGAGCTCCGCTGGCTATAATACGAGCACGTGCTTTGTAATTTATGCGCACACGAAGCCAACAGATTTAAAGTATGTTGCCTAGTAATGTCGACTTAACGGTCTCTGACCTAAAGCCGGCTAGCCAGACGTGGCTAATACTCAACTAAGCGGTTATTAAGCTGAACGACTTCGATCAATCGATACCTTTGCTAAGGAACTAATCTACAGGGCACCGAGCGAGGACACATAATGTTAACGTTAGCTTTTCAACATTATACAAGTAAACAGAGGTGCCGAACGGTTCGATAAAAGACAGTGTGGGTAGTTAAAACTCGTTTGGCATAATTATGAGTGTTCAGTTCTACGGGAAAAGTTAACGTTGTGTTTAGGGGGAGGGTTCAAGGGGGTTGTGCCGATTCAGCACCACAGGCCTGAGCTCACCATGCCGCCGTGCTTCTCGCCGGTTTTCTCCTCTTGATCTCGGACGACTGATCCCGGCTCGACCTCCGCCTTCTGTTGCGCTTGGCCGCTGCTCTCCGAAGTCATCGGCCGCCTCTGGCTCTGCACCGGCCGGTCACTCTCCCTCTCTCTCCGCGATCTCCTCGCCCGCGCCTCTCGCCGGTTGAACGCAACAAGCACTTGCTCTAGCTAACGTTAGTTAGGACAGGTTGCTCTTACCGTTTCAGAAAGTAAATGGAAAAGAAAACGGGGCCGCGCTAATAACACGAACGTCCGCGAATGTATCTCCAGAAGGGGTCTGCTTCATTCCCTAATTAGACTTAAAGGAGATCAGCGAACGTTTCTGACAGAAGGCAGAAATTCACACACCGCCACCGTCCCGACAGACAATGCGACCACCCCCTCCATGGCGCTCGCTCTTCCCTGGCAACAGCGCTCAACACGCGTCGCGCCGCATAGCAACCAGCAGGCGCCCTCGCCGCATAGCGACAGACGCTCCGAGAATCTGCAGCCGGGCAACAGTGAACATGACACAGCGAATCATCCGCGGGCCAAACACAGACCATCATCGCCGTCCACAGATCATGATGAAACAGCAAATAATTCACACAGAACAACAACAGACGACCATGACACAGAATCATCCACAGACGATAATAACACAGAATCATCCACAGACGATCATGACACAAATCATCGACATCCACTGACCATTCATAGACGACAATGGCAGAGCAACATCAACAGACCACAGATGATGATGACACATCAAATCATCCACAGATCATCATGACACAGCAAATCATCGACACAGACCATCCACAGACCGTCATGACAAATCAAATCATCCACAGTCCATCATGAAACATGAAATCATCCAAAAATTATTATGAGACAGCGAATCACCCACAAACATCCACAGAGACCATCAAAACACAGCAAATCATCTTCACAGACCAACCACAGAAGACCATGAGCCATGACACAGATTCATCTACAGACCAACCAATATAATACATAACATACTATATAATCACGACACAAAGAATCATACAGACCATCATAACAGCCAATCATCGACACAGACCATTCATAGACGATCATGACACAGAGAATTATCTACAGACCATTATAACACAGCAAATGATTGACACAGATCATTTATAGACTATCATGGCAGAGAATTATCAATAGACGATCATGACACAGCGAATCATCCACTGATTATCATGACACAGAGAATTATCAAAAAATTATGACACAGCGAATCATTTACAAACCATCGAAAAACATCCTGGGATTTGTAATGACCACAGAGAGTCAGGACCTTGGTTAAATATCTCATCCGAAAGATGGTGCTCACTGAACAGTATCGAGTCCCCGTCACTATACTGGGGCATTAGGATCCACACAGAATGCAGGTTGGACACTTCCTGCTGGCCTCACTAACACTACTTCCGGCATCAACCTAGCTTTGCCATGTGGTCTCCCATCCAGGTACTGACCTGGCGCAGCCCTTAGCTTCAGTGGGCGACCATGTGAGAGTTGCAGAAAGCTAGCTGCCGGCTAATGACACAGAATCATCCACAGACAATTATGACACAGAATTATCCAGACGGTCATGACGAGGGTATCATCTACATACGATCATGACACAGAGAATTATCCACAGACGATCCTGACGAGGGGATCATCTACAGACTATAATGACACAGAGAATCATTCATAGACAATCATGATGGCAGACGGTAGATTTTTCTGATGAATCATCTGTTGAACTGCATCCCAATCATTACAAATACTGCAGAAGCATGGACCCAAGATTCTTATAGAAATCAGTCAAGTTTGGTGAAGGAAAAATCATGATTTGGGGTTACATTCAGTATAGGGGCGTGCAAGAGATCTGCAGAGTGGATGGCAACATCAACAGCCTCTGGTATCAAGACATTTGTGCTGCCCATTACATTACAAACCACAGGAGAGGGCAAATTCTTCAGCAGGATAGTGCTCCTCATACTTCAGCCTCCACATCAAAGTTCCTGAAAGCAAAGGTCAAGGTGCTCCAGGATTGGCCTGCCCAGTCACCAAACATGAAAACTATTAAGCATCTCTAGAGTTAGATGGAGGAGGCATTAAAGATTAATCTAGAGTCTTGATGAACTCTGGGAATCCTGCAAGAAAACTTTCTTTGCCATTCCAGATGACTTTATTAATAAGTTATGTGAGTCATTGCAGAGATGTATGGATAGTCCATCTATCAATCCATCCATCCATCCATCCATCCATCCATCCATCCATCTATCTATCTATCTATCTATCTATCTATCTATCTATCTATCTATCTATCTATCTATCTATCTATCATATTCTTCATTAAATTATCCTGAAGCTATTTTCAGAAAGAGTTTTCATTTTCATAAGCAATACATCAGTGTCAGATTTTAAATGTCAATTTTTATTGTTTATTTTTTTAGCATGGGTGGAAAAATTGTACATAAGCATATTACAGTAGTCATAAAGTTGCTGCTCTCTGTAACACTGACCAGTAACTCATCTGCTTGGGACAACAAATCAAGCCATTCTTGATATCAATTCATTATTTTGCTTGAGAATTTGGGTGCACTCACTTTTAGCCCCGCAAGAACATTTTTAACAGGTTTCATGTGTAAATATTTGCTGCATTTAAAACAATCCATGCCAAGTGTTTACCACAAAGCTACATTGTACCACAAAGTAAATCTCCTCCAAAGACATTAATCCCAGTGAAGGGAGGTTTTGTGGATACAGCCATCGGCCGTGCCCAATGCTCCATTTCTTCACTATACATGAGAAGAAAAACATGGCACAGAAAAAAAGAATATTTGTTTAATGTAGACAAAGTGCTGGACTTCATTCTCCCCCAACGAGATGTGAATAACATGTTGACATCAGAGCAGCAGTTCTCCATTTCAAGAGATCAGAAAGGATCCATCTGAATGTTGAAGGCTTGGGATCTATATTTTCTGCCATGCTTCTTTTAACCGTCTTTAGGCTTTGGTGGTGCCAGACTGTGATGCCTGTTGACTGTGTAGTTGCTGAAGTTTCATATTCATCACTTCCACAACAGCTGTAAGGAAGCAGATCAAAGCATTGTTTGATGAATAACCCTGTACTAAAAACAGAAATGTTGGTAGATCAATTCTTGTACACATGAATCTGTGAGAAAAGCTGAAAATACATGCTGTAGTTTACACAAAGACAATAACTGTATCACCAAAACACATCACATGTGTTTATTTTTTGTTTAAACCAGAGTCAAGAAAACACTATGAGAGTGACTGTACATCATGTCTTATTTACCAAAATAGGCATGAAATATATTGAAAATGAGCAGAAATTAAAGAAACACTCCACAGTTTTGGACAGAAGCTCATTTAACAACTCTCACAGAGAGGAACAGTTGAGTTTTACTCCAAAATCAAACAAAAAGTGCTCAGGGGTAGCTTCAATAATGTGTCAGTGCTCTTTTGGTAAGGGATTCATCAGAATAAACGGTTGTTAATGTGTTTCGTCAAGCCGTTTAAGGAATAGCCATGTCAATAAAGACTTTTTAATATTTTTCCCACATTTTTCGAGTGCCTTGGACTGGTTTTTTCAGTTGAGTTTTACTATTTTTGAATCTATTCAGTCGATCTCCGCATCTAGCGGAAGCACTTTTAGCTTAGCTTAGCATAAATAATTGATTTGGATTAGATCAATAGTATCTCGCTCCAAAAAAAAAAAATTATTATTTTTTCCAATGGACCCTTTTAACATTTCAGCTTTCTCAGTATAAGTTGTCATCATAGTTGGGTAAACCTAGGCCCAATCCCACAAGATTTCAAGATTGACAACAGAAGAGTCAATCTTGAAACTGGAAAATTATCTAAAGGCTCCTAAAATAAGCTAAAGGGCTCCTGCCAGTTTGGCAGAATTGATTAAAAATGGTCAAACTCAACTCTAGGGGAGCTTTAAAGTAAACTTGTTTCCAAAACAAAAGTGGAGTGAAAACAGCACAGCTAAGCTGCTATAAAAAATTATCACAGAATAAACTGGTCAATAAGAATCTTGTTTACTACACAGCAACAATTGTACATGGAAATAGGCCTGTCACGATATCTATTTTTTGTTGTATGATTTATTGTACCAAAATATATTGCAATAAACAATATTTTTGTCATTTTAAGGCCATTTTATGCCACTCACTATATAATGAACACATCAGATTTTATGTTATATTTTAGTAACAGAGGCTGTAATATCTGCTACCAGGGGTCCGTTCTTCATACATGGATTACTTAATAAGCTGGATTTGGTTATTGGCGATTTGACATGATCCAGGATTGTTTAGTTCTTCAAAACTCATCTGAGACTTGTTGTCATAGCAACAGTTCTGGTAGGTCAAACCTGCTAGGGAGCAGGCTCATTTGATATAAACAGGATTAGATCTGGTTAGTTTAAGCAAAGATAATACTTTAAGTATGTACCAAATGCTGATATTTTCTTACAGTAGTTTTATACACTTGGAAAAATAGTAAATATATATATATTTCAACTATAAGTTACTATAATTTAAGAAATATATAGATAAATAAAACTTATGCAATCTGCACTCCGAAATAAGTACAAAGACTGCCACCTGGTGGTTCAAAGAGAAAATGTATTGATATGAACTTTTTAAATACAATGCAAATGCACAATATTCAACTTTTTTAAAAAGGATACTGATTTATGCAGTCATGCACATGTTGTGATCGCCAATATGCCGGTGATATGTTGCTTCACAAAAGTTGCAGACACCTTCACCTTTATCAAAATGCTTTTTTGATGTAAAATTAATTCATACAGTTATTCCTTACTCCAATTAAAAAAACTTGAGTAGGCCTAAGCTACTATAATAAGGAAAATCTTCTCTAAATGTAGAACTAAATACATTGATATGCTTTAAAATACATAATGAATACTCTTGACACATGAAAGTGTTAAGCCTGCAGCTCACAACAAACCGTTTACTGCTTGTTTGATGTAATTTTGCTCACATGGATAATTGAATATTAATCAGATGATGTCATTACGCTGCTGTGCCGTCAGCCAATCGTTGCATTGCTGATCATGATTTCGAGGATCGATGGATCTGTCCTTCACAACACATGCAGCGATCTCAGATCAGTTTATCCAGACATTCTAATCGGATTCGCAAACTTGTTTGAAGAACCAAATTAGCCAGAGATCAGTTATCAAGATGAAAAGATCCAGGATCTGCCAAATCATCTTATATCATTTAAGCGAGGTACGAAGAACGGACCCCAGATCTATTTTCAGTTGTTAGACACCCACATGAAAATATACGACAGTAATCTATAGTAAATACAATCGTGATTTTTAACCATACTGACATCTCCAATAGATAGAGATGTTGCACAAACATCAAAAATATTG